GTAGTTTTCTAAATTAGGGGTCTCTTTTCTGGTCCTTTTCGATAAGGGTCCACCTTAAAGGGGACCCTCGTTTAGAGAACTACCCACATGTACTGTTAGGCGGTCCTCACCACTCGTTGCAGCTTGTGAGATGGGAGACTTGTGCCGAAGTAGCTTTTGCAAGCCCCAGTCCTCATACTCTACGCCCCAGTCACTAAACAAAGAGACCGTCACCAGGGTTTAGTGATGGGGGAAAACCCTGGAACCCTAAACCGAAGGACCATAATATAGGGGCCTGACTCATTACCTATACTCTTTATATTATGGTTATAGTATGATATACCCCCCCCCAAAAGCCCAATTCTAAAGAATAAGGCCCCTACATGGGCCTGCAAGTTCGAGTGTGCCTGTGGCAATCATTCTGATCATCTGCGACCCTTGCAGCGCATGAGCCTTTAGCCTTGCATTAGGGTTTGTAGGGTTTTAGGGCTCTGGGTTGAAGTCTAGGACATGTTCAGGTGGGTAGTTACCGTTATGGGAGCCTTATAGAAGGTCTATATAACTTATAGAAGCCTTATAGAAGCCCTATATACCCTAAACTCCCCACATGTAGTTTCCTTGACTTAAGGGCTTTGGAATGTAAGACGTCGAATTGGAACGGCGGTTTTCGGGCTCCTGTCAGATTACTCTTCAGAGGATCCTTGGTTGTAAGTGCCCCGACAGAACCTTTATAAGTCTTCCATGGCCATGGCATACATCCACATCATCGCTCCGTCATCTGGCAGGTTTAGGGTTTAGGGTTTAGGGGCCCGAGATCATGAGTCATGCTGATAGTCCCACGGTCTAGCGGTCTCAACTGCTACAAGAAGCTTGGCAAACAAGCATGCCAACAAGAGCGCTACACCTTGATCTCTCCAACCTAAGCCCAGAACCCTAACTCCTTGAGCCTTAGACCCTATAGAACTCAGAACACTTCTAGCGTAACTTACAGTATAACCCTTATAGAACCCAAGACCCCATCATGATTATTAAGTATTGAAGGGTCAGGCAGCCAGGGCTCTGTTCCTCAGCGGCTTTTTCCGATCTTCAACGCATTGTTTTTTTTTCTTTGGTTGTGCCAGTGGGGTAAGTTGTGTTTGTACGGCTGAACCCTATATGTCGCACCCTGTTTCGCACTCCCAAACCCCCTAACTAGACATCCGAAAATTGAGGAGTTCGAGCGTCGGTTTTGTTGTGAAACCCACCTGCTCGCTTTGAGGCGAAATCAACACTGGAATGATGCTGGTAAGGCGAGGAGGGCGGGGGATCTGTACGCATACTATGTTGGGGTTCGTTCTTATAATTATAGCATAATATGGGTGTTTCAGAAAATAGGGGGTACCTTATTTTGGGGTCCTTATAATAGGAATCCTATTATTTGGGGTACCATATAGGGAGGGTCCCCTATTTTCGGAAACCCCCATATACCCCTAGCTATTCGAATCATTTAATTCTAGGGCCTCGAGGTTGCTAGGATCTAGGTTCTTGAAGCCTATACCCTAAAGCCTAAACCGAAGACTAACGACCTCAGCCTAGCCTTCTGGAGCCTACTTTGACGCTGGATTTGAACAAAAGCAGGTTTATGTTTGATATATAGGGCTCTTATAAATGCCAATGATAACTAAATTGTGGTGGGTGAGTGCATTCCCAAAATCCCATGAGGAAATACCTAGCCTAAACCATCCTACACCTCCAAGCCTGAAGCACAAGACCCAAAGCCCTGAAAGCCTTAAAACGTCAACCGTACCAAACCACTAATGTAGGGGCCTAAATAATTACCAATACTATTTTGGGGTTCCTTATTATCATTATAGGCCACGAAAACCCTGTTCCAATTATTGAGACCATTAGATTAAACTCTACATCCCTGGTCCATCCGAACGGCTGTGTCATCCAGAGGACCAGCTCGAGCTGGGCCAAGAAGCTCTTGGACAAGGTGCTCCTGCCCCACAGCCGCTACTAACCCAGACCCTACCCTGAGCCCCTAAGCCCCCAACTTTCTGAGAGGTTTACACGGGATGTTGTGGAAGATTGAGGCTGCGCGAAGCCTGGGACCCTGTGAGCATATGGACTTTAGAGAACTGCGAACCCAACAGCTTCCTGCATAAAGAGGGACACTATTACTATAGGGGTACTAGAAGGTTGTAAGGATCTTATAAGGAAACCTAGGGAAAAGTAGTCAACAAAGCTTCTACACTGCTAACATTGCAGCGGCAAACTAGCACCCTATACCCCGCAAAGCATAATTTAAGCATTCCAGTCTCTGTGCTGATAGTCTGATTGTGCTTTTAGAGTTTGTGGTTTCGGGGCGGCAGTATCAGGCTTCAGCCTAGTTTTTTGTGGGACCAACCATGTGGGATCTTGGAGGGCTTGGGTCATTTAGCTGAAGCGAACCGTTTGAGGTTTCTGACTGTGAAAACGGAATCTGTAGTCATCCCATGAACCTCTTGCTGGTTCACAGACGACGAAGTAAACTCAGTAAACCCAAGAGCTGCGACCTAGCAAGGCTTGCAACACACCAAACCTTAAGGTCCAACATCCCTTCAAGCGCCCTGACGCCTAAACCCTTTGGGCAGTTCTCTAAATTAGGGTCCCTTTTGGGGTCCCCAATATAGTACGGCACCCTTATAAAAAGGACCCTAAAAGGGACCCTAATTTAGAAGACT